TGTGTGAGTGATTGAGAGAAATGCGTGAAATAATTTTATATTCCGTATTATATTTCACTGAATTACATTTGATGTGCTCGGTTTAAAACGCGTGTAGCAATTTCTGTGTTAAAAATGAAACTATTGTTATGTGTTATTGTTCTGCGTTACAACACAGCTGGAGGGTCGAGGGAATGTTAATATTGTTTGCTTGCTTGGTGGCCATCGCAGGCGCGAAAAGAGCTACGTTCTCTCTGTCTGTCTCTCTCTCTCTCTCTCTCTCTCTCTCTCTTCTCTCTCTCTCTCTCTCTCTCTCTCTCTCTCTCTCTCTCTCTCTCTTCTCTCTCTCTCTCTCTCTCTCTCTCTCCATCTCTCCACTCTCCACTCTCCACTCTCCACTCTCCTCTCTCCTCTCTCCACTCTCCTCTCCACTCTCCTCTCTCCTCTCTCTCTCTCTCTCTCTCTCTCTCTCTCCACTCTCCTCTCTCCTCTCTCCTCTCTCCTCTTCTCCTCTCTCCACTCTCCTCTCCCTCTCCCACTCTCCACTCTCCACTCTCCACTCTCCTCTCTCCACTCTCTCCTCTCTCCTCTCTCCTCTCTCCTCTCTCCTCTCTCCTCTCTCCACTCTCCACTCTCTCTCTCCTCTCTCCTCTCTCCTCTCTCCTCTCTCCTCTCTCCTCTCTCCCCTCTCCCCTCTCCTCTCTCCACTCTCCACTCTCCACTCTCCCCTCTCCCCTCTCCCCTCTCCCCCCTCCCCCCCCTCCTGCCACCCCCACCCTTCTGTGTGTTTTTATTTGTCGAATGAGCTTTAGTTGGATTTTTTTTTAATTGTCAAATTTCCTCATTACGCTTGTTACAATTTATTATTAACTATCGTCATCATTATTATTCCCTATTTACTTCGCTTACACAGGAAATCGCGGAATATATATATATATATATATATATATATATATATATATATATAATATATAATAATATAATATATATATATATATATATATATATATATATATATATATAATATATATATATATTATATATATATATATATATTAATATATATATATATATATATATATATATATATATAATATATATATAATATATATATATATATATATATATATTAATATAATATATATATATATATATATATATATATATATATATATATATATATAATATATATATATATATATATATATATATATATATATATATATATATATATATAATATATATATATATATATATATATATATATATATATATATATATATATATATTATATATATATATATATATATATATATATATATATATATATATATATATATATATATATATATATGTATCATTATATCTTTATTTCCTGTTCACAAGTGACCTCTGCCTTGTAACGTGTCATGGGAAAAAGGCTTATGTCATGACTTTCGCCGCCGCTTGCGCTCGCGTTGCCACTCCTGGAGGAAGAGTTGGAGGAGGAAGCTATGGTGGAGGCGGAGGTGGGGGAGGCGGTGGGGGTGAAAGTGGGAGTTGCAGTAGGGGTGGCGGTGGTGGAGGAGATGGAAGGGGCGGTGGAGGCGCGCTCGGCTGCCTCGTCAATTTCCCAGCTGACGGTTCGCGGCTTCACCAATTTGCTTTAGCTGGAGGTCTGGATACTCAGTCAGCGGCCGGGGTCTTCGTTTTCTTTTTGTTGTTGTTGTAGTTGTTATTGTTATTGCAAATTATTATTGTTGGTTACTATTCTTCTTATTCTTCTTATTGTTATTATTATTATTATTATTGTTATTATTATTACTATTTTGTAATTAGTATAAATAAATATACACTGCTACTAATTGTGTTGCTATTAACAATGATTGGATAATTTTATCTATATTTTCATTGTTTTTCTTAGTATTCTTGTTGTTGTTGATGCAGTTATTGTTCTGTGGATTCCTGTTTTTACTTTTGTTCTTGTTCTTGAAATGATCATGAGTCAGTCGGCGCCACTGACATCATTCTGTCATGTTGGTGACCCTGTTTATGGAGGTCAGTCATCGTTTTCCTGTTTCCATTTTATTTTTATTTCTTCATTCTCTGTCTGGATCTGATCATCTCAGAACCCCTTGATTTCTTTATTTGTCATGTGATTTTCTCTATTTTTGGTATTTTCTTGCAGTTACTTATATTCGCTTAAAGAATTATGAAACATTTTAAAGCATATATTTCAACATGCTTTCGTCATCGCTTCTTTATTCTGTTTAATTCTTGTTGTGTCTATATTTCTGCGGGGGGGGGGGGTGCCAGGGGTCGCCATGCAAAGGGTTAAAGGTAAACAAGTGACAGAGCTTTGTTGATGACCAGTTGTCTTGATGGAGGGGAGGGGGGGGCGAAAGGTTGACGTGTGCGGTTGAGGGGTTTACAATAGGTATACCCCCCCCCCCCTCCCCCTCTCTATACCTATAGGGCCCCCCTCCCGACCATCCTACCCTCCCCCTCCCCTCCCCTTTCTATACCTATAGAGCTCCCCTACCTCCCTCCCCTCCCCCTCCCCTTCTATACCTATAGAGCTCCCCTCCCCACGGCCATCCTCCCCCCTCCCCCTCCCCCTCCCCTTTCTATACCTATAGAGCTCCCCCCCACGGCCATCCTCCCCCCTCCCCCTCCCCCTCCCCTTTCTATACCTATAGAGCTCCCTCCCCACGGCCATCCTCCCCCTCCCTCCCCTTTCTATACCTATAGATCTTCCCCCCCCCGGCCATCCTCCCCTCCCTGCCCCCCGATACCTGTGGTTATCAATAGGAGGTCACGAAAGAGGTTGAAGCTGCTTAAGGTGCCATAATTTCCGATCGTGTTTGTATTTAATTACTGTAGTGGCCGGTGCGGGGGAGGGGGGGGCGAGGGAGCGGTGGGGGGAGGCTGTTGATGCGAGGGAAAGGAAGGAAGGGGAATCAGAAATGGTGGGGTGGGGGGGAGAAGGGAAGGAAGGGAGGAAGGAGGGAATAGGAAATGAAGGAGAGTGGGGAGGGGAGGAGGAGAAACTAAAAGGACGAAGAGAGAGGAGGGGAATAGGAAAGGAATAAGAAGGGAGAGGGGAAGGGAATCGGAATTGACAAAGAGAAAAAAGGGAGGAACGTTAAACGAGGAAAATTAGAAGATAAAGAAATGATAGAAAATAAAACGAGAGACGCAGGATGGAGAGAGAGGATTTGAGGGAGAGGAAGGGATAGAATTCACAGAAGGGATGGTTAATTTTCCTCAAAAGCGGTGAGTATAACACACGACGGCGAGGATCGGAAGAGGAACTGTGCGTGTGAGGATAGAGTGGAGCAGGGAAGGATAGGATAAAGGGAGGAAGACGAAGGAAGCAGAGAGCAAGGATATGCGTCACAGAAAAAGTAGTGATAAGGTACACGATGATAATGAATGGGGAGAGGAGGAGGCGTAGGGGCAAGGGCAGTTCATGGGGCGTGGCCGAAGGGTGGGGGGGGGGGAAGGGGAAGAGGAAAGGGGGCGGACCCTCGCATACACACATGCACACCCCCCCTCTCCCTCTCCCTCTCCCTCTCCCCTCCCTCTCCCCTCCCTCCCTCTCCCTATGCGCCCCCTGTAGCTGATTTCCGTCCCTGCCGCCGCCCGGGTTATCGCTTACTCGGCCAGGCGGGTCCGGGCACTTGGATACATTATGGATACGTACTTTAATACAGTGCACGGGCGCTGCACGCACCACCCGCCTGCATGCTTGCCCCCCCCCCTCCCTCTCTCTCTCTCTCTCTCTCTCTCTCTCTCTCTCTCTCTCTCTCTCTCTCTCTCTCTCTCTCTCTCTCTCTCTCTCTCTCTCTCTCTCTCTCTCTCTCTCTCTCTCTCTCTCTCTCTCTCTCTCTCTCTCTCTCTCTCTCTCTCTTCTCTCTCTCTCCCCCCCCCCAACACACAACACACACACACACATATATATATTGTCTGTCTACCTATCTATATATGTACATATATTTATATATATGTATATATTATATATACACATAATATATATAATATACGATATATATATCTCTATCTTCTCTCTCTCTCTCACTTCTTCTTCCTCCTCAGTCCGCACACCGTCCTGAAATGTCATAGGGAATTCACGAAAAAGACAGACAGACACAGAGGACACGATCCCTCAGATGAGGATTTTCACCGCGACAGTGTAGAGGCGCGTGAGCTCGACCTGAGCCCGACCAAGCCCATGAAAGGAACAGAGGATTGATGCGCCGTCGTCATTTAGTAGCAGCGCGTGTCGGTTGACGTTGACGTGTCTGGGCTGCCCGTGGTCTGTCGTGGCCGGTTGAGGGAAGGGAGGAGGAGGCGGCAAGCAGGCAGACGAACAGACAACCGGGGGAGCCAAGACAGCCGGACCGAGGGCTGGCGAGGCAAGCAAATCCCGTACGCACAGGCCGAATGACGCGGCCGGACTGACGTTCGGGCCGGCCGACCGGGGAGTCCAGCAAGCAAGGAGGCAGACTGAGCGACAGGCCAGCAGGCAATGCACGCAAGCAGGCAAGCAAGCGAGGGCGAGGGCGAAAGGCAAGGGCGTCCGTGGAAGAAAGGATGCGGTCCTTATCGTCGTCATTGGAGCCTGATCCAGGCCAGACGCACCGGGTATTGATTGTCCACGCCCCGCAAGCGATTATCGCCTTTATAGTCCGTGGGCGCAGAGTACACAGTCGTCACTTAGTTGATTAGGACGTCTGTCGTTCTGCGATGTAATGCCTTTTAATGGCCGGGTTCTCGCGTCCAGCTTTTACACGCCCCGGGAGGCCAGTCCCCCACGCTTTTTTCCATGAAGGAACTCCCTTCTAGAACTTGATATCATACTCTTTTTCTTTCTTTCTTTTTACACGTTTCATTGAGTGTGTTATTTCGCAAGAAAACAATTCGACGAAAGCCACCTTTCTTTTGTCATGTACCCGTCATCTGTGCAGAAATAATGGGTAGTGTGTGTGTCGCTCCCTCGGCAGTTGTCCCTCCTAACTCTTGTTTTCTTTCTCTTCCAGATAAATAACCCGAAGATGGCGAGCTTAGTGGAACGGGTCATGGACGGATACCATGATCTCTTCACCAACCAGCGGGGTGAGTGCCGTCGGCTGCTGGCATCTGTGAGGGGAGGGGAGGGAGGGATGGAGGGAGGCAGGCAATAGGAAACAGAAAGGGTATGATAATGCAGCGCGAGAGAGAGAGAGAGTGAGAGAGAGAGAGAGAGAGAGTGAGAGAGAGAGAGAGAGAGAGAGAGAGAGAGAGAGAGAGAGAGAGAGAGAGAGAGAGAGAGAGAGAGAAGGGAGGAGGGAGGAGGGAGGGAGGGAGGGAGGAAGAGGGAGAGGGAGTGTGGGCGGCAAGGAAGGAGACTAGATAGAGGGCCATAGATAATAGGTGAGAAGGCAGGGGGTGATAAAAGAGGCGTATTAGTGCGAAGTAGGAGCAAGAAAGGGCCAACGAGGCGCCTGTACACCTTCCCCCAGGTAACATATCGTTGAGGGACAGCCCTCATTAGCATAAAAAGCCGCGGCATTACGGGCGGTCCCCTTCCGAAGGGCGGGGCTTGGGGAGGGGGGGGGGCGGCGTCCCTCGACAGCGGCCGAGACTGATGGAGTCCAAACCGACGGCTAATTTGCGGTCGCTAAGAACAACACGGCGTCAGAGGAACCAAATACACGTCATTCCTGGGGTTGTTCCAGCAGGACGAGGGCTGCGTTGCCAAGGGTCCAAGGGCGCGTGGAACCCCCTTACGAGGCGGGAGGGGGAGGGAGAGGGGTGGGGGAGTCACAGTGTCATGCGTATCATGCGTATCTATTTTTTTTCCTGCCGGCAAAGTTCTCATTTTTTTGAAGGTTGCGTTGGGAGGAGTATCCGTGGGTTAAAGACGGGCGGGCGAGAGGCAGGGGTAAACAGGAGGATTCTCGGAACTGGCGAGGCCCTTCTCGGGAAAGATTCCTTCGCCGGGAGGTTCATGGGGAAGCCTCGGGGTAGGGGGTAGGAGGGGGTCCTGTTCGAGGGTGACATGGGCAGGAATAACAATTTAGATGGTCGCGTGTGGGGGGGTGGGGGGTAATTGCAAGAAGATCAGGAGGAAGTCCGTGCGTGTTGCTCGAGCGTGTGCCTGCGAGTAGTGCTTGCGAAGCCACAGCGACGGGGCGGAAGCAACTCTGCGCAAGGAGGAAGGAGGCGGAGAGGAGGGCGTCGCTCGCCTCCCAACATCCCTAGCTCCTCCGAGGTCGCTGTTAGGTCGGAAAGGATGGATGGGACGTTTATAGAAGCGACATAGGGTTAGAATGATATATATTTATAGATAGATAGATAGATATAAGATATAGATATAATAGATAGAGCTATATAGATATATACGTAGTATATAGATATGTATATATGTATATAGAGTGTGTATATATAGATATCGTACTATATATAGATATGTAATAGTAGATATACATATATGTATATATAGTGTATATATGTGTGTTGTGTGTGTGTGGTGTGGTGGTGTGTGTGGGTGTGTGTGTGTATTATGTATATATATGCATATAGGGGATATATATTACTATATATATAATAACGAGTTATAAATATAGATTATATACTATAATATATATATATAGCAATATATATATACAATATAGTATATATCCATATATATATATATATATACACTATATATAATACATATATATAGGTATACATATATATATACATATATAGTATATATATATACATATATATATATATATATATATATACTATATATATAGCATACTACATATATACGGTATATATATATATATATATATATACATATATATATACATATATATACTATACATATAGATAGTATATATATGATATATTACACATATATATACATACATACATACATACATATATACGATACATACTATTAATAATATTATATGTATGTAATGTATGTATACATACATACATACATACATACATACATATATATATATATATATATATATATATATATGTATGGTATGTATGTATGTATGTAATATAATATATAATAGTAATATATATTATATATATAATATATATATATAGTACGTATATATATATTTTGTAGATAACGACGCAATGGCAGACGCGCCCTGTGTAGCCAGAAAGGGCGGGTGTCCATACCTGGCGGCACACCTGTCCAATATTGATTTCGTTTCATCTCATTTATTTCAGTGTTGGCCACGCTACGTTAGCCTCGTGGCGACGGCGCCTTCGCTCTGCCGAAGCGCCTTTCCCTCAGACCTTCCTCTGCGTCCAAGGGGCTTTCCCCTTTCCCCTCGGCTCGCTCCAGGCGGTTTCGGTCTCGGCGCCGCTCTAGTCCCTGGCCCCTCGGCCGCTTCGTTGGCCGGAAACTGCATCTGCGATTTAGTCGGACTTTCTGCCTCTTCCCACCGTCTCCTCTCTTCTATTCCACCACCTCCTCCTCTTTCTTCTCCACTTCTTATCTGCGGTACTTTTCCTCTTTCCCTTTTCCTGGTCTCTGCTCCTTGTCCACGTCACCTCCTGTCCAGCTCTTCCTCCGCCCTCCACATGGTTTTCCCGCCCCGCTGTCAGCTCCGTTCCTCCCCTCCCTCCTTCCTCTCCCTCCTCCCCTCTCTCGCCTCCTCCTTCCTCCCCTCTTCTCCCTCCTCCCTTCCTCCTCTCTCCTCCTCCCTTCCTCCCTTCTCTGTCCTCCTCCCTTCCCTCCCTTCCCTTCCTTCCTCCTTCCCTCTCTCCCTTTCCTCCTCTCTCTCCTCCCTCTTTCCCTTCCCTTCCTTCCCCCTTCCCATTCCTCCCTTTCCCTCCTCTCGTCCTCTCTCCCTCCTCCCTCCCTCCCCTCCCTCCCCCTCCCTGCCGGCGTAACTCGCCATTGATTGGGTCTCGGGTGTGGCGACGGCTAACCTTAACAAGGCCGCGCTTGCTTCCTCCTCCTCCTCCTCCTCTCCCTCTGTCTTTCTCTCCTCTTCTCCCTTTTTCCATTTCTTCTTTTCTCTTACCGTTTCTTCTCTCTTTTTCCTTTTTTTTCTTTTTTCTTTCCTTCTATCCTTTGAATCCATTCTCTCCTCTCTTTTACTTGCGTTTCTTCTTCCTTTTTGTTGTGTTATGTCTTCTGCTCTTTTTCTCTTTTTTTGTTTTTTTTCTCTTTGACTCCACTCCTCTTTCTTTTTCATTTCTCTTTTCTTTCTTCATATCTTATCCCCTTCTCTCCACTTCGATTCATTTTTCACCCATTTTTTTCTGCTCGTCTTTCGTGTTCTTATTCACTTTCATCGTATCTTGCCAAACTTTTCTTTTCTTCTCCCCCTCTATTCTCTTTCTTCATCCTCTCTTTCGGGACGCCCTTTCCCCGGCTCCTCCTCGTGCGTCGCCGCCCCCGCCGGTTGCTTCCTGTCCCTGTACCGCGCCGGGCGTGCGTCGCCTCCCCGCTCTCGGCGTCTGAGGCTCCAGCAACGTCATCGGCCCCTTCTGGAGCGCCTCGGCCACCGGCTCCTCAGCGACCGCTCCTGGCCGCGAGTGGGGGACACAGAGCGAGTTGTTGCTGCTCGCGTCGACGCTCGCCCGCGCCATTCGGGCTTATTGAAAGCGATTGCGGGCGTAGTAATTGCTGTTGCTGCCTACCGCCGCATTGGCTGTCGGTTCCCCGGCCCATTCAGAGGCGGTCTTTGTTGGCTTGTCAGGGCTGTGGACAGAGTCTGACAGTGTGCTTTAGTTAGTCGTTTTATTTTTACTGTCATTGTTTAGATAGCAGTGCTGTTATCACATCTATTGATCGTTATTTCGCATTTTATTAAAAGAAGTAAGCATGGTTTCACTTTCGCGAAACCAGTTTCCTTGAGAAGAGAAGCCGGTCCGTAAAAAGCCGTTGCCTGACTCCTGCCGCCCAAGTCCACTTTCCCCGAGAGGCGGAGGGGAAAGGGACCAGCGCCTCGGCCACGGCGGCCCTCCTTGCCCGAGCCACGTGGATCCATCTCCCTTCAGGAGCAGGAATCCACTTGCCTAGACTCGGACCCGTGGCGTTCTGCATGGGACGGCATCTGTGTGCTGTCCACAGGCGGACCCACCCATGGAAGCCCCCGAGGAGCGGCTGCGCGCGGTCCCCCCAGCTCAGCCGCGCCCTCCGTGGCCGGCCTGGCGAGGGCGACGTCGCCTCCGGAGGCTTCGCTCGCTGAACCTTTGCTTGGAGGCTTCCGCCGGGGATGACTCGGCACAAAGCGGCGCTGGGAGATGCCCCTGCCCATGCCCTTGCCTTCATGCACCCACACAGGGCTTGGGGCGAGGGGGGAGTGGGGGGATTCTTTGTTGCTCTCTTCTCCCTCTCCTCTTCTCTCTCCCCTTCCCCTCCTCTCCTCTCCTCCCTCCTCTCCTTCCCTACCCCTCCTCTCCTCTCCCTACCCTCTCCTCTCCCTGCCCCTCCCTCCTCTCCCTCTCCTCCTCCTCTCCCTCCTCCTTTCCTTCCCCCTCCTCCCGTCCTTTTCTTTTCTTTATTCATGGTGCGTGTTGACGTTATTCTGCCTGTACACTCCATAGCCAAGTCCAGCTCCGGCGACAATTAACGTGGCGGTTTCCGTAGTATGACTGTAATTAGACGTCGGCGGGAAGTATTTGCCTTAATTGCTTTGTCGTCTTGAATGAGAAGACACCGTTTGCATTTTTTGATGATCACAAAGAGGAGAGGCTAATAGTGCCAGTTTCCCTCTCTCTCGTTTTTTTCTGTATTTCCCTCCAATCGTCTGTCCTTTCCTCTTCTTTTTTTCCGTTCCTTCCTTTGCTCTGGCCTTTTCCCTTCTATCTTTCCTTTTTCAACTCCTTTATCCCCCCCCTTCCTCCCTCCTCACCCTCTTTCTAACTCCTTTATCCACCCCCTGCCTCCCTCCTCTCCCTCTTTCCTTTTAAACCACATTTATTTCCCCCTTTCTACTCCCATTTTTTTCACTTTCCAATACCTTATCCCCCCTCTCCCTCTTTCCCTTCCCTCTTATCCCTCCTTTCCTTATTTTTTTTTTTCATC